CAATACGATTGTCTGCAGCGATGCTATCGTAAGCAATACGACAGTCAATACACAAACACAACCACTTGTTATGCGGACAACGATTTACGGACCATTCAGCTAAAAATTGGTCATAAAATTGTATCCAATTTTGTTAACCAATGTTCCGCACCTTACAATCAAACGTATATTAAACAGAATTATTGTCAACATAAATGTCCGGCCGATTGTAAAGAAACTATATATCAGACTATAAGAAGGGAAGTAACTTTTGATTACACTCACTCATATACATCTTTCTCGTTCGCTGATGATTATTATTTACAAATTAATTACATGCCCAAATTCACATTTATTGCACTAATAATTAGTGTAGTAAATGTATTGAGTCTATGGCACGGACTCACAATCGTTGATATTTTACAACACATTGATTTATTTAGGAAACAAAATTCATACATTTTCAATCAAACAATTTGTTCGCCAACGAATGTCCTGGCTATTTTGGCAAATATCGGGTTTCATTCCACTATACATTCGGGTAATTTATTAATTAATACAGGATCTGTATATTGAATTAAATTAATTTTTCAATTTAATACTATACATCCATTACCACAAATATTTTTCATTAAAAAATATAATTTCAGCGCATATTCCTCTGCCGAATGGCGGCAATACTTGGCTACCAGTTATACGATGTTTCGGTCGACTATTTTGCGTACAAAACGGTTACCGTATTTGACGTAATGGACAACTCAATGGACCCGCACTTACCGTATATAACACTCGTCTACCAAGAACGTAATTTAATTAAATACCGTAATCGACGACAGTGTCTGCGGTCACGTGAATCGCCGCAATGCCATCGAGATATGAACGAGGGGTATTTGTTTAACTTTAGTCATATCGACACTTCCGGTGAAACACGAATATCCATCGGCGGTAATGTAGAGGAGAAACAAGGGGTTGATATACGATCACTGAAACGACTATTAATGTATAACTTCTATTCAATACATTATGTAATGGTTAGCCTATCTCTGACCAGTAGTCGCGTCGGTAACGATTCACGCGTGACGGACAACGCGCAACAGTTTGCGGTCATTCGTCGTTGGAGTGAAACACTCGCTTCAGAACCGAAGTATGTATTACTTCACTACCAATCGGTGCCTGACATCGAGCGTCTGTTGAGCGCCGAACCAACACTAACGGGCGTTAACCACACTCTTTGCGTCACTCAGACTATGCGCCGACTGTTGCCCTCTCCGTACGGCCGGTGCAGTGATTACGGCTCAGACCCGTCGNGCCGTCACTCAGACTATGCGCCGACTGTTGCCCTCTCCGTACGGCCGGTGCAGTGATTACGGCTCAGACCCGTCGACCGGTGCCGAAGGGGACGGCAGTGGACAACCGTTTCGTGCGATCTCTCACTTCCATTGCATGAGAAGGTGTCGATTGCGTGCCGTTAAGGATCCACCCAATGATTGGTGCGGTGTATATGTTGTTGATAGTACTTTACATCAATTAGATTTTGACGATCACGCGCTTAACAGAGAATGTATTTCCCGCCGTGCTATGTTAATGTTTAACGGATTTGCATCGATAAACATGGTAAGTTTTATAATAAATAAAAATCACAATATTGCTTGTAATGTTTGTAGTACTGTATTATACACTTTTATAAATATTCTAATTTTCCTTATATCTTTCCTCTCAAAAATTGGGAATTTTCCGGAATATATAAAAAGTGTGGGACCTAACTTTTTTTAAGGAACATATTTTAAATTGTTATATTCGTGATCATCATTAAATTCTAGATTGATATACTGTAGATTATTACAATTAACAAATGATTTAATTATAATGTTATTTACCACATAGAGCGCGTTATAAGTTATAATCTCATAAAATCACATTATAAAGCATTAGTCCTATAGACGTAACATTGCCCATAGGATTAGGATTACCCATGTTAAACTTATGTCGTCGACTTAAACTGTAATCTCATATAAACAATGTTTAAGCATTCTTCCATAGACTTAACATTAGTTAATATTAAAATTAGTTAATATTAATTATTGTAAACATTTATACATTTAACTATTTAGTCTTTGGTGTCGATTAAATGTCTGTCGTATTGTCCGCCCGATTGTGTGGCAATGGATTATCGCTCGCGTGTTGTCAACGATAACAAGGATTACATACAGAAAGTGTGGATAAATATTGATGATAATAGCGACTGGTATTCAGAAGAACGCCTCGTTTGGAACTCATCTCAACCCATGTATGTCTATAAAGATG